AGACTTCTTAGGAGTCGGCCCCTGCTGGCTGTCAGAGAAAATGCAAGTTTAAAGCTTCTTTTTTCAGATCTGTCCATCTTTTAGATACAATCTGTGGTACAGAATATCAGCTTGTCTAAAATACTGAAAGGATTAGGTAACTTTATTGTCCTTATCTTGGCATGTGTAGATAATTCAGCGTTTCATGCTGTTCAACAACAGAAACACACCCAACCTGGGGCCAAAACCAATATTGTTCTTCTGGGTTGGGTGAGAGCAGCTAGAGCAGGCAGATGAAGAGCTTTACATTGTTTCATACCCAGGAGTTTACTGATATATCATCTGTACAGTGACCAGTTTCTAGAAACCACTGATCTATAATGACACATGCTTTGTCCTGCAAACACGTTCAGCTCATCACTGGCTGATTTACAACGATTTTTTAAAAATGACAAATTCTGTCATTTCTTAAACTGATTTTAATTTTAATTTATTTTATTTTACAATTTACTGTTATTTTGCAGACTTTCCCTGTTTTGTTTAATTACAGAAAATATTCAGTACAATCATACGGGAAAAAAGTGTTAATTTACATGATAACTGCAAAGAAACTGGCCCGAAGCTGTAAATAATGTCCACAATAAAAATCTGTATTTTCACAAATACTGATCTGGTCTTTTACAATGCTTGACTGTAAAATTACACTATTTTTGCTGTATTTAATTTACAAAAAAATATCATTATGTTACAAATACATGGCATCATTTGCAGGAAACATTACGTATATTAAGGACCAAAAATGATAAACTAATTTTTTTTAAACTATTATATGACTTATTTTTTGTTTTGTTTTGTTAAATTAGATATAATATCTAGTGAAATCAGATTTTTCTTGTTTATATTTGAGTGAGACGCTGTGATGTATTTTCCCCTGCAGAATATTGTGGCTCATAAAAAAGGACCAGAGAAGCATGATGGCCTGAAAACTGCAAAATGCAACCAGCTGTAGCAGGACATCCTGGTATTTTCAGCATAATGCATTTAAAATATGATGCACTGGGATATTCAAAATACTTTTCTGCTAAACTGTGCAATAATAAAGTGTGGATATTCAGCAATCACTTCTCCTGTTGAACACAGGACATTAAATCCGCTCAGACTTCCTCCCAAAACAAGGAAGCAGTAACAACAGATCCAACAGTCTGTTTCATTAGTTTTCTTCCCCTACATGTTGGTTAAGTCATAATTCAGGTTGTATTTTCGAGTTTTCTATTTGTAAATGTGTCCTGTGTGCAAATTAAAGTAACAAGGCCTGAAATATTGTACCTCCTTTGAGCTCCACTGTTGTCCAAAAACTATTAAAACACATCAGTTCATTCCCGTGAGCACAAACAAACACTTTGCCCCAAATACTCAGCGGAGCAGCAAATGTGAATCACAAACTACAGTGAGCAGCTGTTGTAGGAAATAACTGGGGTTTTTTGCACATATTTATGTTTTTTTTTTAAATGGGATTTTGTTGTCAGTTATGAAACTACAGAAGAATCCAGTTAAGCTTTTCTTCCTCTGCAGCCTGATTTTCCCACAGAGCTGAAAAAAAAAAAAAACACAACACGTTTAATCTAGTTTGAAGCCTTTTTGGTGCAAAATACGTCACATTAACATAAACCCTGGTAAATATTAGTCGCGGTGTCCCACAGCAAAACAGCTTCACTGCTACTTTAAAAACAAAGTCTGTGTTTGTTCCTGAATTTGCGTCACAAACAAAATAGACACAGAATCATCATTACAAGATGGAGAACAAGCAGAAAAAGATAAAAATGATAACAATGAGAAGGAATTGACAAAAGGGAAACACAGAATGAACACAAATGGATGTAAAATAGCCACAAACAAAGACAGAATGTTGTAAAAACCTAAAATAACCACAAAGAGGTTCAAAACAACCTCAGAAAGACTCAAACCAACAAAAAGAGACACAGAATGAGCACAGTTATACGCAGAAAGCTCACACAAAGGAACCATGACAACATCCAAGAAGATGTAAAATACCCAGAGAGAGAAAATCCAAAAGATGACATAAAGATTTCAAAAAGATCAAGAAGATTANCCAGGCTGGCTGAGTTCCTTTTTGATGTGCTGCTGCCCCAGCACACCATGGCACAAAAAAGGACGGTGGCGGCCACCGACTGGTAGAACTTCCACAGGAGTTTCCTGCAGATGTCGAACAACCGGAGCTTCCTCAGGAAGTACAGCCTGCTCTGTCCCCTCTTGTACAGGTAGTCTGTGTTGCAGGTCCAGTCCAACTTGTTGTCCAGCCACAGCAGCAAGGTACTTGTAGTTTTCTACAAGTTCTAACGCATGTGCCTCAATCAGAACTGGTCGTGGGCATGGTCCAGATTTCCTGAAGTCTATGACCAGTTCCTTTGTCTTTGAGGCGTTGAGCTGCAGGTGGTTTTCTCTACACCAGACAACAAAGTCGTCCACCAGACTCCTGTACTCACCCTCTGTGTTATCCTTGATACACCCCATGATGGCTGTGTCATCTGTGTACTTCTGTATGTGGCACAGCTCTGAGTTGTAACAGAAGTCCGAGGTGTACAGGGTGAAGAGGAGAGGGGCCAGCACTGTCCCCTGAGGGGCCCCTGTGCTGCTGACCACAGTGTCAGATGTGGTGTCCTTCAGTCTGACAAACTGTGGTCTGTCAGTGAGGTAGTCGGAGATCCAGTCCACCAGGCACGAGTCCACTCCCATCCTTTCCAACTTTCCCTGCAGTAACAGGTGCTGGATGGCATTAAAGGCACTTGAAAAGTCCGTCAAAAGAATCCTGACTGTGCCGCTTCGCTTGTCCAGGTGTGAGTGGGCTCAACGGAGGAGGTACAGCACAGCATCCTCCACCCCAACATTTGCCCGGTACGCAAATTGTGGAGGGTCCTGGCCGTGTTCAACCTGGGGCCTGAGGAAGTGGAGGAGGAGCTGCTCCAATGTCTTCATCAGGTGTGAAGTGAGTGCCACCGGTCGGTAGTCATTCAGCTCGCTGGGCCGGGTTTTTCAGCACCAGGACGATGCAGGATGTCTTCCAGAGGGTGGGCACTGTCCCCAGCTGCAGGNCCAACGTAAACACCAGCAAAACTGTAATTTTCTGTGTTGATTTAACTCTTAAAATATAAATTCTGCAAATAGTATGATGATCTTAAAGTCTTTTTTTTTTTACTAATAACTCTGGTGGGTAAATATTAAAAATATGACTCTGTAAATAGGAAAAACAGCCTTGAAAACTCATTATGTGCTTTTGTAACTGTAGAACATGAATTCATTAAAACCCTCAAACAACATAAGTGTCTTTTCTGAGGATTTGGTCCAGGGTTCCTACTTTAGTTTCTGCGATTGCCTTTTTAATAGCAGAGATTAACAACAACCACAAAAAATAAAAAATAAAAAAAAATACACAAATCAACAAAAAAGATGCAATGTTATAATAAACAGTTAGTCTGACAGTCTGGTAAACAGGTGACTGGAAAGTTACTCACTTATTCTGACAGTTAGCGAAGATTAATAGGCTAGCGTTAGCAAGTGTGCTGATCTTAAAGTCAGAGTTTTCAGGTGTCTCTCTTCCAACCTACTAGATCGCCATGGTAAATGATGCTGTGGAGCTAACCTGGTCCAGAGCAGGTTCTGTTCAGAGTTTGGGATTTAAATCAGCTGGAAGGAGCATCTCCCTTTAACCAAATCTTCTCCTGAGGATTTTCCCTGAGTAACACAAATACCCTGCTGAGACAATCTGTTTTATGTGTAAACCTACTTATCTGTATGTTGCAAAAGCCACTGAATGAAGCTGTGCAGTTACAGTGTCGCACACTGTATGCATCGTGTTGCCATGGGAACCTACATGTATTCAGCTGGTGATGCAGAAGTCACATAAATGTGTTTTATGTTTGTCCCTGATTTGCTGCCGACTCTGTTTTACAGTGCAGCTGATGGAACACAGATTAACTGATTAGTCTGTTGGTCGTGTTAGAAATAAGCAGCTCCATTGATCAATAAAACTAATTTATCAACACAGCACCACATACTCCTCAGTGTATAACAACCTGCTGATTGAAGTAGATGCCTACCTTTGGTCCATTTTGGGTGTAAAAAAAAAAAAAAGTCACATGACGTGTTTAATGTGCCTTTTTTATGAACACACTCAGAGTCTGAAGCAGAAAACCTGTTAACAAAGAGAGCTGGTTTTGATGAGAAGAACTACATAAAGAAAGACTGACTGTCAAATCTGCTTCTTGGTACAGATCACTGAATCCTGTTGGTTTTTCATTGTATGTATCCAGAGTAACTGAGCTTGAACTATACTGACTTTGCTTTATGGAACTGAAGTAACCTGAAATTAAATCAGACTAACTGAAAAAGCCTGGATTATCTGGAAAATTCAATTTATGGAACAGACGCTTGGTAAAATGTGGCCTTGGTGGTTTTGTATTTGAACGTTTGTTTTGCATGTCTCTTTTCACTTTGTTGTTTTACTTTTTGTCAACATTATTTTTCAACATTTATTATTATATGGCATCATTCAAACACCACATTATTTCTTTGTAATAAAAAATTGGCTGCTTTTTCATATGTAATTTCTTTGCATTTCCCATCTTCCCCTGTTTGGTGCTTTGTGAGGTATACAGACATATGTCAGATTTCCGGTAGTCTCTGAACGCACCATTACCAGTGATGGGAAGTTCGGCTTTTTTCAAAGAGCCGGCTCTTGTGACACGCCTCCTGAAGACGAGCCGGCTCTTACAGCTCCCAAACGGCTCTTAGTTTATTATCATCTGTAGCCTCAAAGTTTAGCCTAACTTGGCAAATATGAATGCTTTGTGTGTTGATAAACCCTTTTGAATTTACTGTTTTTATGAGAAGCCTTAAAATGGCCTAATGTTGTGTATTTATGTTACAAAAGCAGGCATTCTAACTTTTGTTTAATATTTTAATCAACCTTTTAGCCTTAATTTAACATGAAAATAAATGAACAAAATACTGCAAACAAACCCACAAAACAGAACCAGAACAGAAACAGAACAAAACTCAGTTCAAACACCAATCAGTATGTCCTTAGTGCAGGTTTGCATTCAAAAAAATGAAATGTCTCAGCCTAGCTGGACTGATGCGGGCTCTCCTCTGGGTTATTATCTGCACTGTTTGTGACAGACTCTCTCAGAGGGAACAGATGTTGTCTCTCCTCCATCACCTTCACCAGGTGGGGGAAGACTGAGGCCTTTACCTGCCACCAGCTCAGTGGCTCTTCTGCTCTTTGGATGAGGGGCTCCTCATGATAGCATCACATCTCCATTATAACATCAGCTGTGGCACTAAATCCTCACATGTGATTGGCCACAAGGCCGCCATGCTGCCAATCAAAACAAAGTTCTACCGTGAGCTGAGCTGAGCCACTGAGCGGCGGAAAAGAAGAGAGCCGGCTCTTTCTCGATGGGAGTTGGCTCTTCTGATTCACTGTAAAGCATCCGCTCTTAGGCTTTTGCGCATGACACATCACTCACCATTAGTTCACATCCATCCTCCGTTGTTACCGGACAGAAGAGCACCGAGCGGCCGCCTTAAGAGCTCACTCACCCCCGGAGAGGATCCAGCAGAACACTCCAGTTTACTGTAAGTCACTTCCACACATTTACAGCCGCGTTTTTGTTCGGTTTAAAGCCGGTTAGGGGCGCAGCGTGTCGGCTCCGGTCCGCTCCGCACGGCGGCGGCAGCGGCAGGCTGCAGTTTCCGGGTTTGCCGTCTTTGTGCACACGGCACCGGGCTGGTGCAGAGCGCACAGACCCAACGTGTTTCTGTTTACCTCCAGCGGGCTTCGGTCGCACACGGACACGCGTGGCCGCAGCTTGTAACTCCGGAGATGGATTTGGTGATTTTTTACGGGTTCATTTGAGCGGCGGACTGAGGCCGAGGCTCCGCGGGAACACGAGGCCCGAGTCTGGGCCGCAGCCACCCGGCAGATGCCCTCCGTCAGCATCCTCCGGGAAATTTATACACTTAACCGCGGCTAGCAGGGAGGCTAACCCTGCTATTTGTGTGTTTACAACGCGGAGGTGAGCGGCCGAAGTGGTGTTATAATCGCAAACATCACATTTCATCGAGTGTTAAACATCAGGTTTATTTCACTGGTTCTAATGTTGGCGTTTGCTTAATGAAGCTGGATGCCCAACCGCCTAAACCAGCTAACGTGTATTAGCTGTGAGCCATACTCCGTTCAGAAAACATTTGATTTTAGTTCATCGTCCCCTGGCAGTGAAGCAGTGCTGTGAACTTACGCTAAACACATTTTCGAGAAGCTGCTCTTCAATTCGGCTAAACAGAGAGCAAAACAGGAAACCGTTTTTCCATCTGTGTGGGATGTAACTGTGAGCTTAAGTGTGGATACCCAACAGCCGATACCGGCGAACGTGTATTAGCTGTAAGCCATACTCCGTTCAGAAAACCTCTAATTTTAGTTCGTCGTCTCCGGGCAGTGAGGCAGCGCTGTGAACTTTTGCTAAACACATTTTAGAGAAGCTGCTGTTCAATTCGGCTGAACACAGAGCAAATCAGGAAACCGTTTTTCCATCTGTGTGGGATGCAACTGTGAGCTTAGGATTTATTGAGTAAGTGGTGTTTTTATAGTGATCTATATCCTGTTTACACAACATAACACATGTTGTGTATCCACGTTATTGTGTAATGGTGTTAATTCCTCTATATAAACCGTCAGATGTACAAGTGCTCTAATACATGAATAACACTAAGTACTGTTTAATCAGTTACTTGTATTAGACAGCTGCTGTTTGGCTGTAATGATCTTACTAAATATAATAATAGTATCAAATATCCACAATTGGCTCTATTGACCACAACCTGTTTTAAAATGATACTATTAGTTTTATTCCAATAGTCTATTTTTATTTTAATAGTTAAAAAAGACATTTAACCGTGTGAAGATCTACAGTGGTGTGGCAGTTTACCAAGAATGTAGTGTTTTTGTGTTATTTACAGCTCCAAATAACGATTACTTTCGTTATTGAGTATTTTCCTAATTAGTCAATTAGTTGTTTGGTCTCTAAAATGTCAAAAAAGGGTACAAAAATGTTGATCAGTGTTTTTTGTTTTGTCCAGATTCTTCCACAATGAAAGTATTCATACACACAATATTACCACTGTTGAAAATATCCTGTTGTGAGACTGAAACAAACAAAAGAAATCAACGTAATGAAACAGTCACATGACAGAAAATTGTTTTACTTTGCTGAAGAGATCTGACTTTAACAGTAAATGAAAAAAATATTGTGACCGCTGTGAAGGAGCTCAGGATTTAATCTGAGGAGCAAATGGTTAATTGAGAAAATGCCTGCAGCTACAACACAATATTATTAACTATAAAAAATGCACATCACACATAAGAAAGGCAAAATAAACTATAAATTGATGAAGTGTGACAGGTAAAAAATAATTATTAATTATTGAGTTCAAATTTTTCTACAGTGTGATCTATAATAGGCTTTAATTGACGTCTGTTTTTGACTTTAGTAATTATTTTCTAGCTGTCACACTTTATCAAGTCACCGGTAATTCTCCTTTCCTATGTGTCCTTAATTTTTTGGTTGTTTTTATTATTATATTATTATTTTAGTTAATTGTTGGGTGTATAAGCAAACAGTGAATTATTTCCAGAGTCCAAGTTGATAAATTTTACATTTTTCCTTTGTCAGAAGGAATATTATCATTGAAGAGGTACTTTTTTTGCCTTTTTATTATTATTATTATTAATTGATAACCAAATTTACTGCTGTTTACTGTTATGATTGTTGTTGGTGTCACTCAGCGTTTTGTGTAGTTTCTGGAGAATCTCTACAGTCCAAAACTATGTGAATTTGACATGTGAACATTATAGTTTTGCCAGTTTTAAATGTATTTCTGTATGCCCGTCTGTCCTTGTGATGATTGAGCCGATTTAACTGCTTCTGTCTGTGTTTGAAGACTTCCTGTTTCGCCTGCAGAAACGATGAAGGAGGAAATGAACACCGTCTTCCTGGTCTTCGGGTTTCTCTTTGCCCTGAGCGATGGTTCGGCTGGTTCGGACTGCAGCCCGTCCACAACGGAGGCGAGCGGCGCGGTGCGTTTATTGTCGGCTGTGGTCGACACGCAGAGAGCCGAGTGGAGCCAGAGGCAACACCTGGAGGCTCTGTTCAACAGGTGAGCAGGAACACGGTTTTTTCACACCGAGTTACAGATGTTAATGTTTGTGCAGAATTTGCTGAAGATGAGTTGAAGCTTGTGTTCGGACCAGCAGTAGAAGGATATTTTCATGATGTCTTAGAACAAAGGTTTTACATCACCTCCAGTGACGAATGAGAATTGTGTCATTGAGCGCCTTACTCGTCCTTAAAGGATAATTCTGGTTTATTTCAGCTCTTTTCAGAGAGCCGTGGATCTACGACTATATTCAACCACAGAAAGCCTTGGGAAATAAGTTGGCATATTATCTGTCGATGAACTGAATGTCCCACAGAGCTCTGAGTGACTATCTGAAGTCTTATTAGCCTAAATGAATTATAAACCAAGAAAAAAAACTAGTGTTTGAAGCATATTATATTATTATACCCAGTTATATGATCAGAACAGACTGGGAGCAGAGCAGCTGAACCCATTCATATGATTTCTGAACACATATTAACGGGTGATGCAGCGCAAGAACCACTGAGGAATAAAACACAGACAAGTTAGCTGCTGTTTTTGGATCTGACGTGTTGGTTGTTGAGCTGTGATACTCAAACTCCACTTTTTGTCCATCGGTTTCAACAAAATGTAGAAACACAGATGACTTCTTTCACATGGTGTCAGTTTGTTTAGAGTCGACTCTGAGTAAAAGCTGTGAAAACATGGGGGTGTTCCAAGTGCAAAGTTAGCCTGTTCTACAGAGACCAAACACTGTCATTAGTGGAAAACACGTCTTAAAGGAATTATCCTTTAAAAACTACTATTAAATTTGTTTTTCAAACTTTTGAAAAAATGCTTGAGACTTGAAATCTTTGGTTGATGTTTTTTTAGTTGTCAGCAGCTCCAGCAGGATGCGGTTACTGTACGTAGATCAGTCGTCAGGTTGGATGAAACCCAAACACACTTTTAGATGCCGAAACAGCAACAAGGGCAGTTTATACATCGAGTCTTGTGAAAACTGAGGAAAAACTGATGTTTTTTCTCCTTTAGTTTAGGTCTTTGCTTTAGATTTGCAGTTTGGAGCCTCTGTCTCCCCCCTCTGGCAGTGAGTGTAATTACGCAAAGGCCGAGTTCCTTGCCATCATTCGCTTTCTTTTTCAGATTATTGTCCTTCCTCTGATTCTTTATCTGGAGCATTAGAAGTTTTTCCCCCAGTTTTTCCACCTTCGACTCGACACTTTCTCTCCTGTTCAGCTCTGAGCTCAGCCGTTTCCAGTTGATGCATCTTTGCTGGTGCACCAGCCCCAGAAAGCACATCCATCCATCCATCATCTATACACTGCTTAATCCTCACTAGGGTTGCGGGGGGCCGGAGCCTATCCCAGCTGACGTAGGACGAAGGCAGGGGACACCCTGGACAGGTCACCAGTCTGTCACAGGGCTACACTTAGAGACAGACAACCAAGCACACTCACATTCACACCGACAACATGTTTTTGGCCTGTGGGAGAGAACCTAGAAACTCCACACAGAAAGATCCCCGGTGTCCTCACTGGGACGTGACCTTCTAGCTGCGAGGCAACGGTGCTAACCACCGCCCCACCCCCCCAGAAAGCACAGCTAAATATTAACGACAGAGAGATTCACTTGAGCAGAATTTTGTGAATAATGGTCTTGAATGTCACTGTTGTTCATTTATATAATTTTACATGAACCTAACAAAGTGCTCCACTGTGTTTTTGCATCGAATCTAAAAGATATGGAGAAAACGGCACCATCTCTCTGGCCGGGTTGAAGCGCCTCCTGCAGAGCGTGGGGCTGGATCGCGTCAGAACCGTCACGGTGCAACATCACGAGCAGCCGGGCCACCATGACCACCATCACCATGACCACCATCACCATGACAACCACCTCCATCACCACCACGTGCACGATGACAACAACTCGCATCGCCATAAACGCGGCGATGCGCCACCAGAGAAATTTCCAAAGAACCAGGACGGAACACCGGGGAAGAAAAGCGAGAACCTGGACCGTCACGTCAACCTGCACGATAAGAAAACTTTGATGGCGGCAGATCAGGAGGTCAGGACCACGGCGGCGTACAGAGCTCAGCTGGTGGACAAAGCGCAAGATGGCAACCCAGAGAGTCCTACAGGAGAGGAAACCACCGGAGGAAATGCTGCCCGACTGATCACTGAGAGTCAGACTCAGGCATCAATCAGCCGGGGCCATGACCATGACCATGACCACGACCACGACCACGACCACGACCACGACCACGACCACGACCACGACCACGACCATGACCACGACCATGACCACGACCATGACCACGACCATGACCACGACCACGACCACGACCACGACCACGACCACGACCATGACCACGACCATGACCACGACCATGACCACGACCACGACCACGACCACGACCATGACCATGACCACGACCATGACCACATGAACCAGGATCGTCTCCGCAACCACAGCCTGGACAGGGCAGAGGTATGACACAACACCATAAAACAGCTGTAATTTTTCCAATACAAGATGACTTCGACAAGATTTGAAAACATTTTAATGAAATCACATTCCACGTTCTATACTGAAATCTAGGGTTGACTGATTATTAGCCTTGCCAATTATTGTGGCCAATATTTGGCATTTTTCTTAACATCTTTAAGTTATTGACAGATTAATTAAATGAGCTACTTCAGGTTTGATGCAGCCTCCTCTCTCTGTCCGTCATTGCTCGTTCCTCAGAAGTGTCTCTCAAGCAGAGAAAACTGAACAAGAAACACAAACCAGGAAACTAGCTGCTCCCACAGTGGCTGAGGCAAAGCTTGTGGCTGGTGGCTAAGTTTTGATTTCAGAAGGCAGCTAGAGACTAACCTGAACCTGAGTCTGGAAACAATAATGAATGTTACTTTAAGATCTTAATTGGCAATGAAAGTGACAGAACAGTGAAAGATTAAGAAAATAAAGAACAGTGACGAACTTCAGAAGACAAACTGATCACTTTCAGTCGATCCCACATAAACAGAGGAGAAAATTCTAATTTAATCACTCCTATTTCTAGTTTACATATTCAGTTACAGTCACCCCTAATAATGATGAAGCCTAGTTATGAATGACAGGTTCCTGCCATCACATGCTGTTACAAGATTACATTTAATGTATGTCGGTTCCAGATATCGGTTATTGGCCTTTGTTGAATACCAATAATTGGCATTAGTATCAGTCCTAAAAAAAACCCAGACCAGTCAAACCTTACTAAAATGTTCTAGAAATCCTTGTTAGGGATGTCCTGATCCGAGTCATATGATATTGGTCCCAGTCTGATACTGTTTTCCTGGATAATACACACTTCGGGAAACACTGAGTGAGTTTTTGTGTTTTCCCTCCAGTGTCTGAACGCTTCCAGCATCCTCTCCTCACACGGGATGTCTCAGGAAGTGGGCTTCACCCTCGGAGACTTCAGCTTCCTTTGCCCTGCCCTCCTCAACCAGATCGATGGAGGGGCCTGCGTTATGCATGGAGACGCCTCCGAACAAGAGCAAAGAGGTAGGAACCGTATTGACATTACAGATTCTACCACCACAAGTTTTTCTTTGCTTCCGATGTAATCTGAGTCATTTAACGTTAAGGATGTCCAATATTGGCTTTTTTGCCAATATCCGATATGCCGATATCGTCCAACTCTCAATTTCCGATTCCGATATCAACCGGTACAGATACCGATACGTGTGTGGCCTATTTAATTAATTTTAGGTAACATCTAGGGCTGGTCACAATAGTAATATCTGGGCTCCTGATATTTGGGCCCAATTAACAACAAATATGACTGGATATGATTCATTTACTTATATT